GTCAGTTCAGTGTAGGCAGTGACCAATGCCATGTGCAGCCATGCCATCAGCCCTGACTAGTGCACTCAGCAGCTGGCCAGCATCATGGAAATGCTTGGAACAGGCACCTTTTACTACCTCCATACTGCAAAACTGCATGAGGGAGAAAGTGAATGCCTTGAACAGCAGAAGGCTTTGTGCTATGAGAAGAACACACATTTAATTCTGCACGCTAGAAGCTGAGCAAACATTTTGCCTTAAGAAAGGTGCACTGAGGCTTAAATCCTCACCTTCCCCAGAGTCTGCTGTCAGAGGGCAGAGAATATGTCTGGTTACAAGTGGGATACAAAGTTTTTCATGGCTAGAGTAACACCTTTCACTGAACACATTTTTTAAGTCTGCTGCAATTTAGTGCTTTAATATTGCAGTTTAACTCTTGCAAAAAAAAAGCAGGTCTGAGCTGCAGGTCTGAGCTGCCATCATGCGAGAATAAGGATTGGAGGGTGACAGTCTTAACGCAGTTCTAGTCAGACATCTACATCTTGAAAAAAAAAAACCCACTATAGTTTTTTTTTGCTAAAGCTTAAAACTTTTTTTTAAAAAAGTTTGCTAAACTTTTGTGTTTCCTGTTACTGGCAGTCTCAGGCAAGAGGTCCAGTTGTGACAGGAGAACCTTAAGTGTAGTGTGAGAAATGCATTATGGCTTATGCTGGGAGCCTGAAGTGATGCAGCTGTGAAAGATGCAGGGAAATGCTCTTGCTGCTCTCTCGCTTATGCCCACTGTGGTTAGCAGTGAAGATTTAGGTTGCTTTGTTGTGGAGCAGGGATCCAGGAAATCTTGTTGATAGGGCACCAACAGTAACAGGGTGGCAGGAACATGCCAATAGTAATCCGAGTTCCCACCTGTGTACCACATCATGGTAGCCATATCTATCCCACAGCTTGGGAGTTGCTGGTTTGAAAGAGTTCATTATTAGGACTCAGCTTAAATATCCAGCAGCCACAGTTCAGAGCATTCTTCAGAGATCTTTAGGTCAGCATGTGCTGTGATATCTGCCTCTTGTCCAGGAAGAGGCTAAGTGGATCTCTGCTCAAACCTGAGATACCAGAAATAGGCATGGCTTTTAGATGGGTTCATCTGTGGGCTGCTGGAGGACAGAGCTGGGAGCAGCAGTCTCATGGCTGAGCTGGAGCTGTCACTGTGCATATTGATACGTCATTATAATGTGCTAGATGGGAAGGATGCCAAGAGGGTGGGAGACGATATGACCTTTTTGTATTTTCAATTACAATAAAATCCTGTCAGCCCTTTACAACTCCTCAGCCAAGTTCTTTTTTTCAGAGCAGCCCATTCCTCTTTCTTTACATGTGTTCCAGGCCCCACTACACAGCACTGGACTAACCACTACTCTCATACCTGGTCCTCAAATCAGAAGTGACAACACAAAGTTGTTTGAGTTCAAACACCACTCTGTTTGAAGATCGAAGTACGGGGTTGCTGGCTGACCTTTTTTTGATCCTGACTTCCACAGCCAATAAATCCAAATTTAAAATCTAGGTAGTTGCTGTGAAACTGTACAAACAGAGGAAAGAGAATCCCAGCAGGAGTGCTTCAAGCCAGAAGATATTTTGTAGAGAGGAAAAGCAGCCTTGCCCAGTGGCAGAAATCATGCCTTGCCCCATGCCAAAAAAAATGGCTGTGCTGTGAAGAGACAACAAGAGGATGAGGGAATAGGGAGGGACATCTGGGCAGGACAGAGAACTTCCAGCAGGTGACCTTCATGCCCAGTCTTTACTGAACTTGTTTCTTCCTGTCTAAACAACCCAGTCTTGTCCACATACACTCAGTTGCCAGTGCTTCTGCCCTCAGCAGCCTTGTTGCTGAGGAGACCATTAAGGTGCCTGAAGAGCACGTGGCTAAAATGCTCTTTATCCCTGCAGTTACTTCAGTTGCTGATGTCTCTAAGTAGACACTTCTTAGAAGCTTACCTCAAACCCAGGAACACATCTAGCTGAAACTCAGAGTGAAGCTTTTAGCCTCAGCACACGTGATGCTGTCCACAGCTCTTCAGGCTTTTGTCTTGCCTGGTGCTGGGTTTTATCTTAACAGCTCCTGACAGAGGGGAAAGATGGGGGTGCTGCAGCCAGCCAGGAGCAGTTGTCTTGCTTCTTTTGCAGCACTGCTTCCACAGTGCTAGGAGAGGCAATAAAAAAACAAATGGCTATAGGAAGTTTTGCCACTGCTTTAGCAGTAACACCAGGTAAGAAAGAGAAAAGCACATCTGGTTTTCAGTGGGGGAAAAAAATGTATCATGCAGGAATTGTATTCTATGAATAAACCACAGTCAGTTCTGCTTTCCTGCCTCAGGGCTTGAAGCTGTGGGCTGCCCTGAGCCATATCACGTGTTTGGCACTGGATGGAGAAAAGTTTTAGATTTCTTTCCATCAGCCAGTCATACCCAGAGCTTTAACTACCCTGTCATGCTCAGCAGCTGTACCCAGAATGAGAGTTAGGTGCTGGGCAGGAAAGAAGCTGTTCCAGAGAAGGAAGAAACATGGCTTTCCACTGTGTTGAGAGCTGTTGACTGACTAATACTGCCTGGTTTTCTTTGTGCTTCTAGCCTAGAGGCTTCAGCTTCTCCCAGCAGCTTTTCTCTGGCCTTGCTCCCTGTGCCAGATTTCCCTGCACAACCCATGAGGTTGGTGGCAGTTTTCTGCATCTCCCAAAGGTGTCTGCTGCAGTAATGGAGAATGAGAAGTTTCCCTCTGCTATTTATTTTGCCATTAAAATCGGTCCAAACTTCTCATTTTCTTCGTCCTACACCATCAAATGCACCCCCAGATCCTTTCATGAGCAATGATTAGTCCCTGTACTCAGGACTGGGATATCAACTGGGACTTTAGGCTTTGGTTCCCTCTCATCACTACCTGACCTTCAAATACACTCTGCTTCCCCTCCTAATTCAGAGCATGTGATCTGCTGTATTTCCAGCCATTGAATCCAGCAGCAACCTCCCTGGCTCTGAGGCTGCTGCTGCACTGTAGGATGCAGCCAAAACCAGCCAGACTGAGGATCTGCCTCAAGCAAGTGAACAGCTGAGAGCCTGCTTGTGTCTCACAGAGGAGCCATAGCAGAAGCAACAGTCCCAACAAGGCCTCCCAGCAAAGCTGCATGCATGTTACTAAGCAAATGACCTTTCACTGGAGCAGCCTCTTCACCCACTCAATCAAATGCAAAGCACACTCTGCACTGTGTGTGAACATCAAGAATTTGTTCAGCTGTTCAGCAGCTGAAATAATTAATCTCCAACAGCTAAACTCATTTATTTCTTCCACCTTTGCCTTTCTAGCAGACTTCAAATCCAGCACAGCAATTATCTGTGCTGCTAAGGAAGCCCCATGAAGCATCTTTAGGGCAAACTTCTCACCCTTTCATCTGCTTCCTTTGCTCACTCTGTGAGCAAAGATCTCTTCCATCACTGAAAGATACAGAAAGATGCCTTCTTCATGCATTGCACCTTGGCCAGCCTTGGGGAGCAGCCCCAGGCCAGGGCCCATGGGGTGACTAGGTGGAGGAATCAGCAAGTTTTGATTAGGAAGATGATAAAGGAGGTATGGCAAACAGTGTTCCTCTGGGGTTTTTAATGAAATCTCTGAGCAGCGAAGAGAGCACGTGGAAAAATTAAAATAATCAGCTGGCAGCCTGCTAAGGCTGGTCATAGATTAGCAACCAGCAGCTAAACCCAAAAGCAAATAACCAGAATTCCCAGGGCTGCCAGATTTGCACATGGAGTTAGCAGGATGAGCTTCTTGGCACTTGGGTCTGACACCTCCCAATGATGTCAGGCTCATGTCACACTTGCCAGGGAGATGCCAGACATCAGAATCAGCACACAGTTGGCAGGACCAAGTTACTCTACAGAGAAGAGCTAGTGCTTGCCACTAGATGCAAAGCTCTGACCTGTTCACACCTCTCCCATTTCATCTATCCTATTCCAGATCTTGCAACAGCAGCACTGCATTGATGTGGGCAAACCAGCCCCTGCAGGGTTAAATATGAGCTTGTCAGCCTGAGTAATGAAAAGTAGGATAGAAAATAAGAGAAAAGAGTCATTAATTAAGGCAAGAAGCTGGGAGCAGAGACTGCAGAATGCCAATCAGTCTGGAGGGAAGGCTGCGTGGAAAGCAGCAATCAAACTCCTTCAGTTTTAATTAAACCTGACTTATATCAAGGATGTGACATCTTGCTTCACCTCTGCTTCTGAGCGGAGAAACCAGTTGAAGCATGTACACTGTTACTGGATAGACAGGAATTTGCTTCTGGCTCCAGAGCCTTCCCATCCCAGGCTCAGCACCTGCCCTTCCTGCTCATGTGCTCCCCAAAACTGGGGCTTAGCACCAGGCAGAGCTTAGTGAAGAGGCCCAGGGTTTGCAGCCACTTGCCATGCTAAATGCACCTTCTCCCCAAGAACTTCCCTGACCTCTCTGTCCTATTTCTTTTGTGTTTCACCCCCATGTGCAGCAGTCAGTCCTCATCTGATCTCCTATTGCAAGCTGGGACCAGGAGGAGCAGGTTCAGGGGTGAGCAACAGCCCAGCTGTTTCTAGGCAAAAGCAGGCAGCATCCAGCTGTGCCATTGTTCCTGACTGCTGTTCCCTTCTCCATCCAGTGCTTTGGGCTGTGGAATGAATCTTCACCTAAAGAAATGATGAGGCCATGTGAGCTGGCCAGCAGCCATGGCATCACGTGCAGAGAGTGGCTGCAGAACTCGGTGTTCCTGGGAAGGTGGGTAAGGCACACTGGACACATTTCTGAAAGACATCCGCCGTAGAGGAGTGGCAGCTGCCAGGAAAGGAGAGAGGTGGAAAAATCAGGAACAGGGATAGAGGCAAGGGAGGCTCAAAGTGCAGAAAGCAACATCAAGCACTTGAACGAATAAAGAAAACTAATTCCCAGCACTATTGGCCTTCCTCTTCAGTTAGCCTCTGCACAGAAAAAGGGATGTCCTTGGAGCTGAGCTCCAGCAAGGCATACAACAGCTTCAGGGAGCGTTAGAAATACCATGTCACCTGGGAATTGAGAGTGGGCAGGACAAAACAAAAAGGAAAGATTTACGCAAACAGAAGTAGGGAACAGAAAAAGAAGATAAATAAGGAGGAGATCGTGGCTCTGCTCATGCACATCACAGCTCTGCAAGCTGCCTGATGTCACCCAGGACAATGCCTACAGCACTGGCTGGGGCCAAAACCCCTTTATTTTTGACACAATTTCCAGCACCATACATACATACATACAAGTGAGGACATCAGAGGATTTTGTAGTCCATGCAGGGCTCAGGATACCTACAAGTGCCATGACAACCTGTAATTGTTTCCCAGCTTCAGTGTGGAAGTCTGGGTGTCCCACAATGTCACAGCTTTCCCTAAACACTTTTTCCTGAGCTTCCCATCTTTCACCTTCTCTTAAAGAATTATAGGTGCAGATCTGCCACATGTTAAGAGTTATATTTTAAGGATCCACACAGCACTAATAAAACGCCATTCTTAATCAGAGAAAAGGAGAGCTGTTGTAGCCACTTAAAGTTTACTGTGAATGTTGAGATGGGATAATGGCAGGTCTCAGACATGGCTACAGGATCATAGAGGAGGCGTTTGAGGAGTTCTGGGGGACTTGAACTCAGTTTAATGGGTCTGAATGAGCTCATCTCTCACTGCCAACATAAAACCATCTCAGTGGGGATAAGGCGTGGGCATGATGATCCTGGAGGAAAGCAAAACCACTCTGATGTGGTCAGAAAATGTGATGCAAATGGAGACTTTCCCGTCTAGCCCTTTTCTAAGGCTTCTTCTTTGTCTTGTCCAGCAGTTCCTCTTAGAGGGGTCACATCGAGGGAATGGCCAGCTGTTGCCAAAATTTCCTCCTCCAGTACTTCCTTCTGAACAGAGACTATGGCATCTTGTACCTGCCGAGTCCTTGCTCTGGCACGACTGGCATCTTCATGGTCCCTCTTCCTGCTGTTCTCTGGGACTTGGGTCACCTCAGTGTTGCCTCCATAGAAAGCTCCTGCCCTGTTGGCAAAACCTCTTCCCACACTGACCATACGAGCTTTCCTTCCAACTCTCTTCTTCTTTTTCCTGATCTTGTTCTGGAAGAAGAGGCAGGTGAAGGCCTGCTTGAAACGCTTGCGGAAATGCTTGGAGATGAGGGCATAGACAATGGGGTTGAGGCAGGAGTTGGTGTAGGAAAGGCAGTGGGAAGCCAGGCGGAAAGCGTAAGTGGCCCGATTGAAGGGAAAGTGGCCAAACCAGAAGCAGAGGATGACCAGGTGGTGGGGCAGCCAGCAGAGGCAGAACAGGATGGCCACTGTGACAATCATCTTGGTGACCTTACTCTTGGCTTTCCGAGACTCTGAGATTCTTTCTATGGGGTCTACAGAAGTCCACAAGAACTTGATGGTCCTAGTGTATGCCAGGCTCACCACGGTCACAGGCAGCAGGTATCCAAATACAAACGTGAGGATGTCCAGAACCTTTCGGCGCTGGTCCTCCCAGACGGGGACACAGATGGGCACACCGTGGTAATGGATTATCTGGTAGTAACTGAGGTAAGGCCCTGCGAAGAGCAGCGACAGTGACCAGATTACCACAATGGCCACTCCCGCATTTCGGGACGTGCGGAGATCCCGGGACTTCAGTGGATAGCGAATGGCCAAGTACCTGGCAAGGAGGAGAAGGAGAGACAAAACACAAGTGAGGATGAGGTATTTCTCCTGCCCTGTGGAGCTGCCATCTGTGTACCCCTTCCCCTGCAGCCACCCATCTCTTCCCTCCCAAACCTTTTTGTGAGTGAGGGTTACAGTGAATTCACAAAAATATCGGGGTCATTCCGACATTGGGTCTGGGATCTCTATCATCCACTCTGCTGCACTAGCTCAGGAAGGGCAAGCAGTGTATCTCTTGAACCAGGTAAGAGAAGGATAGGAGCAGGACTCTCCTGTTTCTTCTGAGTTGTGTTGCTGCCCATGGGCGTTTTGCTGTTCTTGCTCATGCAAAGTAGACTCCCCTCCTCCCCAAGTGAGCACATTAATTAGGCTGAGAGCTTGGCTTGGTAGAGGGGGACGGCATGGGGAGCTGGGGACACTGGCTCTGCTGGCCAGACCTTTGGGGAGACCTGACCTGCTTCTTACAGGACACCCAACAGGGTAAGTAGCAGCCTTTCTCCCACCCTTAGCCCAAGAGCAGCAAACACAGTGTCCCTGAACTGCAGAACTCAAAGGGCTGGGGACATTTACCTATCAACAGAGACAGCAGCCAGGGTAAAGCTGCTGGCATACATGGTGAGGTAGATCAGGAAATGCACAGCCTTGCAGGCAAAGGCCCCAAAGAGCCACCCATCCAGGGTGTAAATGGTGGCCTGGAAAGGGACACAGCAGATGATGAAGAACAGGTCAGCCACAGCCAGGTTGAGGATGAAGAGGTTGGTGGTGGAGTACTTGACTTGGCCATTCCACAGCAGCACAGCCAGCACTAGCCCATTTCCCACAGTACCCACAAGGAAGATGAGGGAGAAGATGATGGGCACAATAATCCCTGCTGCTCGTAGCTCTGGGCTGTCAGAAGAGATGTTCAATGCCCCTGGCATCTTCCTGTCAGACTGCAGGGACCTGCACTGGGAGAAAGGGATAATAGGCCCCAAGATGCCTGACTTCAGCCTTTGACTCTCACATTGCTCCCAGAGATGCCAATCCCAACCAGCTGGTTAAATGATGCCACCAAGATCCTCATGACATCACTGGAAAGAATGCTGCTGTGGTCAGTCAGCATACATCTGCCTGGCTTGAGCAGAGCTGAAGCCTCTTTCTCCTGCCTGGATTCACATTGCCATCAGAACATCTCCTGTGCTCCCAGCGCCCCAAAGGATCCCTCCTGCCCTGCCCCCTGGCCTCACACACGTTCCTCCTACATTCCCAAAGCTGCTAAACCCCTTGGGATTGCTTGCCTTGGGGAGTCTAAACCCTGGCTGGTGTTCAACAGGGTTTGGCCACAGGGCCATGGGGTAGGAGGTTCCCATGGGCTGCAAGTGGTCCCAGCACACTCAGCCCAGGGCTGTGTCACCTCCAGCAGCAGGGACCTAGCACCTGGATCACACCCCACAGCAGCCCAACACATTCCCACCCCAAGGGAACTCCTTAAGCTGAGACCACCTCCACCCTGGAGCTGGCTGCTCCTTGCTCCCTGTGCAGTAATTACACTCCACAGAGGAGAGAAAACTAAACGCACCTTTTCTTGATGCTGAGAAGTAGTCAAGGGCTGGATGGTAGCAGGTAGGTGAGGATGTGGAGGAGACCCTGGAGCCACCTGAAATACAACAACATGATCACTGTGAAGGAGCCTGTTGTTATCACAGCTCAAGGTATTGTGATTTGCTGCAAAACTTACTCCAGCCCTGAGTAACACTGCTCAGGCAGGGAACACCAGCAGCCTATCTCCAAATAAACCTTCCCCTTGTTGTGCTATCATCAGAACAAATTGTCCTTCTCTGAGCAAAAACAAGGAAGGAAAGACACTGTTATCTAGCTACCGTTGACAAGCAATTAACTTGTTTTTGGGTCATGCAACCTCCTCCGCGCCATGCTCCCGCATCCCTCAGCTCACGCCACTTCTGCTTCCCAGCTGCTCTGTGTACCACACCAAGAGACTGTCCCTGCCTCTGTCTTTGGTCCACTCTGCCCTACTGATAGCTACCCTCCAGCTTATCCATCTGGCCCCATGGGATCTCCTCACTAAAGCAGAGGAGCCCTGTCTCCTTCTGGGCATGCATAATGTACCAGGGTGTCTCTGCTCAGGGAGCCTGAAACTGCCTTTCAGCTTTGGAAGCTGGCACTCACCTTTTTGAGGAAGAGCCTGCAGCTTTGCCACTTGCTCAGGGGGAGACCTCCAGTCCAGCCCACGCAGTGGTAGCAGGAGGATGCATACCATAGAAGAGTTTATCTGGGCAGCTCGATCATCCCAGTCACTCCTGCCTGATGCTCTGCTGTCTCCCCCTGCTCGCCACCAGCTCTGCTCTCTCTCCTTCTGGAGCTCCTCTCCTCTCTCTCTGACTCCCCCTTTTCCCTCCCTCTGCTCTTGCTGCTGATCCATAGTTCTCTGTTGTTTTTTTTCCCCTCTCCCTGAGGTTGGGTTTGGAGTTAACTCCTCTCTGCCCAGCTTTCCTGCAGGCTCAGCTGCTCCCTGCTCCTCCTGCAGAGAAGGGGCGGGGGGGCAAGAGAGAAAGCTCACTACTCTCTGGTGGAAAAGGGAGGATGGAGAGGGAAAGGGCCCCTTGGACCTTAGCAGCCATCTCTGGATACTGGGTGTTCAGGATGTGTTGTCCAACACCTCGGGGGAATGTAAATATCCCACCATTGTGAGCCTCATCCCTACCCTATCCCCAAAATATAGGGTCCTAAACCCTCTGGGGGATGAGCAATTAATTGCTGTTACTAGCTGTTATTAATTAATTGTTAGTAACACTGAACAGATTGAGTCTCTCCCACAATGTCTGGCCTGGGGAAGGAGGAGAAAGCAGGTTTTGGATTCCATCCAGTCCAGGTGTCCGCTCCACCGGTACTGCAGTATGGGAGGGAGGCCAAGACCTCCAGGATGGCCACCTCCAGAGAGGTCCAGCTCCATCACAGCTGCCTGGGACACATGGGGGCTGGCTGATGTGCCAGGAGAGGACAGTGACCCACGCAGCCCTCCCTCCCTGCCACTCTGCTGCCATGTCCATCCTGGTGACAGGACCTGTGCCCTGAGGACTTCCAGGTGCAGCTCAGTGATCCTTTCTCAGCAAGACTTAAAGGACACCAGCTTCCCTTCACTGAGAAGGTTGTGGGTACCTCTTCTAATGATGGAGAAGGAAGTGGAAAAGGAGGTGGCTGGCCTGCTCCCCTCCACAGCAGCCCAAATTATCCCCATTGGCTCAGAGGCAGGAGGGACCATGCAGCTTTTCCCCCCCACCTGCCCCTCTGGTGGGAAGGAGCGAGGTGTCCCCGCCAGCTCCCTATCAGTCGCTGTAACCAGGGAAAAGGGGAAGGCCGTGCCTCGGGACGCGGTGATAACCCAGGGGATGCGGCAGAGTGCAAGCCTGCAGCCGTGCTGCCACAGTGCTGCTCGCCATGGAGGGACCGCACCGCAGCTGCCTCCTCCTCCTCCTCTGCCTGCTCCCACCACCGGGCATCCCAGGCCCACCGCCGCCTCTGGAGGAACCTCGGGAGCTGCTGCTGCTGCTGCCACCGTCCAGCACCGCTGACCCCACCGCCCACCTGCTGCGCGGCCACCCCTCGGCCCCGGTGCGGCCCTACAGCCTGTCGCTGTCCCCCGAGGATTATCGCTACGCCCCCAAACCCCGGCACCTGCGCCCCGGGCGGCTGCGCCGGCTCCTGGGCTCGGCCTTCGACCCCTTCTGGATGGCGACCGAGGAGCCCCGCGGTCGCAACGGGAGCATCCTCGAGGAGAACCTGGAATCCCTGAGCAGGGAGCTGGCCGAGGGTGCCGGGCGGTATCACCGCAAGCTGTGGCGAGAGGCGGAGGGGCTGGAGCTGCCCCCAGAGCTAGCGGGGGCCCCGGCCCGCCGCCTGCGGCAGTGGCTGGTGGAACGGGCCGCCTGCCGCCTCACCGCCGCCTGGGTGGACCTGGGACCCGTCTTCTGGCCCCGCTGGGTGCGCCACACCACGTGCGAGACCGGGTCCCCCGGCTGCTCCTGGCCCCCCGGCATGAGCTGCCGGCCCGCACAGCTCACCCGCATCAAGCTGCTGGCCTGGCACTGCTGGACCCCGCAGCACCCCGGGCCCCCAAATTGCACCTGGCGGCAGATCCCCTACCCTGTCGTGGCCGCCTGCAAGTGCTCCTGCCGCTGAGGGGGCTGCGGGGACTCCGGAGGTGCCTCCCGGTGCCTGTTCTTGCGGCCAAAAGGCTTGAGAAAAAGCAAACGTCTGCCTGGACTCACCCTCGGAGCTGGGGGAAAAGCCCCCAGAGAGAAATAAACCTCCAGGAAGGAAGTGGGGATGGCTGTGGTTGTTGCTCTGTGTCTCCCTGCCGAAGCCCCTGGGTGGGGGGTGCAGCTGCTTTGCCCCTCAGCCACCGTGAGGCATTGGCACCAGCGGAGGCCCTTGTGCAGCGCTCATCTCCAGCAAAGGATGAGGGATGGAAAAATGATGGCACTGAACCGCAGGTTCTGTCTGCACCAGGACTTTCTCAGTCCAAGCTGGGGCATCCCTGCCTGCCTGGGTGGGGCTGCAGGCAGGGAAACAGGGCAAGGGAATTCCAGCAGAGAAAGGGTAGAGGTGGGTCACTGCTTGGGGTGGAAACAGCAGTGTGGAGAGGGGCTGGAGTGAATCAGTGGGGTAGTTTGGGACTGAAACAAGGCAGCCTAGTGAGGGTAGAAAAAGTGGGGGGTGGGCCATGACCCAGGGCTGGAAGCATTTTTGGGACTAAGTGTGTATGAAAATGGGATGGGATAGGATAGTCCCCTACTCTGAGGTAAAATGGGTGAAATACGTGGATCCCTCAGCTATCCCACAGTGCTGAGGATGACAGCTCCAGACTCAGGACTACCTGAGCAGCACACAGGGTATGGGGTAGGTCAGGGAGCCCAGGGTGGGAACTGCATCCTCAAAAACTGGCATCTGCCTCTATGTTCCACTCAGCAAAACATCCTCTGCTTTCTGGGCTAAAAGCTGCCTAGAGCTGTAGATCAGACCTAGGCTGGAAGGCCTTGAAACAATAAAGAGCAAGAGGATTTGCCTCAATTAAATACTAACATGATGCCTACAAGTCAATGAGTACAGCATTATTCATCACCAGTGTGCCATCATCTGACCCTCCTGCCTTCCCAGGACTCCAGCACTCCACAGTCTGTTCCCCAGACAGCTCCAGAGTCTGCTGCTGAGCTTGGCCTTGAAGCAAGGAGAGTGCAGGGAGCTGGCTGCAGAGGGACCCGAGAGGTACAGAGGTGAGAGGGTCAGTGCGTGTGGTGAGAAGGGGAGCAGAAGGGCGAGCCCACATGCACATGCAGAAACTATTGTGAGCATCACAGGAGGGAGGCTGCTGTTGCTGCTCTGGCCTGCAGCTGAGCAGAGAGACGTCTGTAGGGCTGTTCTGCCAACGAGGAGGACTTGAAAGCTGGAGCAGGGTTAAACTGCTTGGGTTGTCCACCCTGAGTGGAGCAGAGGCACCAGCAGGGATGCCTGCAGAAGGTGAGGGGAGAGGGGGAGACCAGGGCTGGGGACCAGCAGGAGAGAAATGTGAGGGAGGGTGGCACAGGTGTGCAATGGAGGTGTGCAGGTAGGGGGAGCAAGGGTTGCACGTGCATTGGGCTTAAACCAGCAGTGATTCAGTTTAGGGTCTCAACCTCCCTGTACCTGAGCTCATCTGTCTGAACTTTCACCTCTTTCCAGGCTGCAGAAGGGCCTGAGAGCAATCTCCCTGCCCTCCCCACTGCATCCCCCATTCCAAAACACTGCCTGTTGAAAGGGGCTTGCAGCACTGCGAGGGCCCAGTAGCACAGAAAGGGAACTCCGTATCATAGTTTATCAGCAGGCTGAGCTCAGGGCCTGTGGAGATGGAAAATTAAACAAAATCAGCACACAGTTACACTACCAGCTGTTCTAGCAGGGTTTGGTTGCAGTCCTATGGAACCTACAGAACATATTTCTCCCCTGTCTTTTGCATCCTTGTAAAGCCCTACAATCCTGGATTCTCCTGCAGTCGCTCTGGCTCAGGTCAGACACTACTGCCCTGTAGTGTGCTCCCTGCCAGCCTAGTGACACATTAGGACTTCAGAGCAGGTCTTTGCTGATATGACCCAGTGCTCCAGCAACCAGGCACAGCACACTGCATTTCAGCTAGAATCTGTGCCTGGCTGCAGCTACTCATTCAGCACATGGGCAGCTGCCAGGACATACAATTTCCAGTCTGGAGCAAAACTGATGCAAACAAAGCAATCCTATGAGATGCCCAGGTCCCAGTTGTGCCTTTTTGAATGCTGAAATACTACAGCACAGCTTGAATGAACAAATACAGAGATTCTTGCCACGTGGAAGAAAATTAAAGGTTTCCATCACCTGCTCTGCTCCTGGCCTTGGCCTCAGTCAGGTGCAGATCCTCTCACCATGCTGCTGGCCTCCACCACCTCAGCTTGCCCTCTGCCTGATGGCCTTCTCTGGGGCAAGATGTCTTTACCAGGGCAGGTTTGGGACCACTGAAGCAATTGGGAAAGCATTATAGCTGGGGACCAAGCTGAGAGCAAGGAGAGAAAGGAGCACCAGAGCTTTGGCTAGCCCATGTCCTCTTTCCCTAACCAGCTGCTGGTGGCACAAGTTGCAAAGAGCTTGGGAAACACCCCTGCCTCAGTGGGGAATTGCAGCAGTCAGATCTGCCAGGGTGATGCTGCTGGACCCACAGGACAGCACAGAAGAAGCAGGCAACCTCAGGCACATCAGCAATGCTCTATTTCCATCAGCAGGACCTGCAGCACTTCAGCATCTGGACCGAGGCTTCAGGGAAGACATAGCAGAGTGTCTGATAACAGCATGAGAGGATGGGGACGGGGTGCAGCTCCTGGAGGAGGAAACAGGAGGCAGACAAATATCCGCTGCACTGCAGGACACCTTTAATGACACTTTTAAGTGCTGGTTGCCAGTGCTACTGCCAGCACTCTGACTCAGGTGATGCAGGCTGTGATGCCTTGAGGAACGGTCCTGCTTTCGGCAATGTGCTGCTCAAGCCTTTTTCCCCATCAGAGGCACTTAGTTGTGGGCAGGGATGGCGCTGAAGAGGTGTTTTCTGGCCCCTCAAGACAGCGCTCCGTGCTTCCGTCCCACCTCGGTGAAGGCTTCCACGCAGCGGTCGATGTCCTCGTCGCTGTGCACGGCCGAGATCTGGACCCGAATGCGTGCCTTCCCCTTGGGCACCACGGGGTAGCTGAAGCCAATGACATAAATTCCTGGGGAGGGAATGCAGGCAGAGTCAGAGCTGGCTGGGATGGAGGCAGGCTGAGGTGTGCTGGGTGATAGAAAGGTTTCCCTCCCAGTAACCACTTCCAGCCTTCAGGGTTTTCGAGTGCCACCTGCTCCCAAGCACAGAGGTGAGGTTAGGTGCCAGCAATGGGGACAGAGTCCAGCATAGCAGGACAAGAGCACTAATGTAAATCTCCTTCCTAACTGAGAAAGGAGGTGTAGCCAGCAACATCTGGGGGAGACCATGAGGACATTTGCAGCTGAAGGGTGGAAGAGTAGTGGATTTCATGCAGGAACATCCTCTGAAGGGGGGCTTGTGGTGGCACCACCACAACTGTCCCTTCCCTCAGGGAACGTGTCTGCACACTGAGCTCCCTCCCCAGATCACCTCTGTTGAGCATGTCCTCTGCCATCACTGACGCCAGCCGAGCGTCCCCCAGCATGACTGGACAGATGGGATGGTCTTTCCCCGAGATGGTGAAGCCAGCTGCCGTCATCTTACTTCTGAACCTGGTGAAGGGAACAACAGGATGAGTAAAAACCTCAACAACCCTGTCATTGGAGACCATTGCATTCTTTCCCCTGGCCACTGAGAACTGGGTAGGGTTTGCTCCACTGTTCATCTGTGCAGGGAATAGATCTCTCCCCTTGAAGTGACCTGCTGCCATGTCCTGCTCAGCCTAACGGGACTGCAGATCCTTGAGTGGACAATGTGCCCCAGCTCACAGAGCACCCAGATGTGACATCTGCCCAACACAGACAGGCACATCCTGCAGCTCCCCTGAGCCCTGACTTGCAAACTGTCTTCCCAGCTATCAACAGGAAAATGGGGGTGAATAAATCACAGACAACTCACTCCTGACAAAGCTGCCCCTGCTCCCACCCCAGTATGGCCCCCTCACCGTTGGGTTTTGGCAGCCATAGACTGTGCAATGGCATTGCTCTCCATGAGCAGGTCCAGGGCCTTGGATGCACAGCCCACCACGGCAGGGGGCAAGCTGTTGGAGAAGAGGTACGGGCGGGAACGCTGGCGGAGCAAATCGATGAGGGGTTTGGGACCTGTTGTGTACCCGCCTGCCGAAAGAGGAGAGAGAATTGGACAAGGAACTCCAGGTTCCCTGTTTGGAGTGAGGCTTCTTGATAAAGCCAACCTGGCACCTATAGCAGGAATTTAGGTACAAACCAGGTCTAAAAATCACAGCTGATGCTTTTGACCAAGAGTTTCTACCTTGAACCCAAAGGCAAATGCATGAGAAAGATGACAGTGTAAGGAGCACACGGCAGGATCTCCCTTAATCCTGCAGCAGCATCACAAACCAAGCCTCATGCCACCAGTGGAAAACAATAACATACATTTGTTACTCTATCATTAAGCAGAGGAAGGAAACATAAGACTGATGCTGTAGAGCTCTTTAGGGCATGCAGGACACTGGACAGGAAAATGCCTTCACCTGCAGCTCCTCCAAGAGCTTTTCCCAGGGTAGAATTGATGATGGTGACTTTGTCCATCACTCCCAGGAGCTCATCAGTACCCCTGTAGAAAAAGGAATGTCACATTGTCAGCTGTGCCAGCACACACCAGGAAAGCTGCTGGACACCTCAAGGGAAACAAAGCACTGTCAGCCAGCTTCCTGGCATCCCTCCTTCTAGACAAGCAGGAATAGCCCCTTGAGATAGGGGGTCAACACTTGGGTTGAACTTTCTCCTGCAGAAAGCCTAAGCTGGGACCTCACAAAGTAAGAGCATGGGTTCTTCATCCCTTAGAGATGGGGAAGCGCTGAAACTTCCCACACAAAAGTTTAACAGTCCAAACAAAGCACCTCCCAGGAGGGGTGGTGCCCGGATGAGATGGTCACACCATCCATTACACACAGAGAAGCAGCTGTCAGTTGGGGATGGATCACTGCTGAAGTATCTCCTTTCAATCCAAAGGTACAAAGCCTTCAAGGAGTCCCCACACAAAAAACACGTTGGCCATCAGCCCTTCAGTCTTGCTTCAGAGGTCAGAGCAGGAGGAAGAAACAGAGCTGAAGCAGTCACTCACCGCCCGTTGGGTCCCAGGAATCCTGTGGCATGGCACTCATCGATGAAGACCAGGGCATCGTACTTCTGGGCCAGCTGGCAGATTTCCCTCAGGGGTGCGATGTCACCATCCATGGAGAAGGCACCATCAGTGGCCACCAGCCGCAGTCGATGCTTCTATTGGAGGGAAAAAGACATCCCCGGGGGTGAAGATGTCACCCTGAGGAGAGGGGCTGGCAAACGGAGACACTCAAACTCCTGTACAGAGAGGATGTACCTAACTGAGATGGGGGGGATTTGCATCACAACCAGCTGCTTTGCCACCTTGCCTATCCATGCCTGTTGGCAAAAACAATGCCTATTGCACGGGAGAAGGCAGAGCTCACCCTCCAGGACTGGTTACTGCACAGGCAGCACAGCTAAGCAAGTGCCCCAGCACTGGGGAGGGAGCAGATCCCCATACCTGCACTTCCTTCAGCTTGGCCTCCAGGTCCTGCATGTCCATGTGCTTGTAGCGGTACTTGTTGGCCTTGCA